AATCTGAAATATGAGGATTTAATAGGTTTCCTTCTTATGCTGGTAGATCCAAAAAGGATGTTCTGAATGGAATGAAAATAACTCAGTACTATTATTGCTCTGAATCTTTTAGTTCTCTGTAGATATTAATAATTTATGTCATAAGTTCAATGCAACAAAACAATTACATATATTAGGCCAGCAAGTATTGTGTCTCCACCCAAGTAATTACCTGAGCTTTCTTCAAAACCAGAAAAGCAAGCTCCAGCATCAGCTACTGACAGAACAGAAGCCTAGACATAACCATCTAGCTCTAACCAGCAGAAAACTTTCAACATTTACTAAGACAGAAAGAGAAGAGAAGAGAAGAGAAGAGAAGAGAAGAGAAGAGAAGAGAAGAGAAGAGAAGAGAAGAGAAGAGAAGAGAAGAGGAATAAAGACCAAGGTTACACTCATATTCCTGGTATTTGTTTCATATCACGTATGGAGTTCCTGAAGCTTTGCTAAAGAAAAGTGAACCATTCATTGGATAGGAACAAGCTTTTCTGTAATAACTGATGCACTACTGAAACAAATATTATCTGGATACTCACCCAAATTTTTGCTTGGGAAAAGCTATCTGGAAGTATGCCAATTAGTCCACAAACAGGCTTGATGCTTCCCTAAATTTTAAAAAGTGGCTCTAAGACAACCTGAATTATTGCCACACACTAAGCTGGTAAAGTGTCCCTCTCCCATGGATGCCAGTGCAGGGCTGTTTAATTACCTTGCCCTGAGAGATGTACCATTCTTCAGGTCGCTCATTTATGGCCTCACCTTCCTCCCAGGATTGTTGTAATAGGAAGCTACATATGTTACTACATTCACACTGTGAACTTTCCAATCAAAAAATGGATTATAATAATTGTTTCATAACATTGTAGTAATATTTTAATGTGAACTTTGTGAAATTTACCTAATAAATGGAATTTAAGTAAACAGGATGCATTCATTGCCTTAGGATATTATTTATATTATGGCCTTCAGCAGGTTTCTCTGATGACTCAAGGAGACTGTGATTAACAACCTGGGTTTAAAAACTGTTTTATCCTGGGGTTTAAATAAAGAGAAACTGTTAACAATAATTTACTTGCTTGAATCCTACAGATGACCAAGATGAAAAAGTATGCTGGTCCAGCTTTTGTAGAATTACAACAAAAAAAATCTGAATTTCTTGAACTGAGTGAATACTGTACTGACTATGCAGCTGGGTGTCAGAAATTATGTATGGGCATACACTCAGAAGACAATAGAAGTGAATCAAGTAAATTAAAAACAGTTGCACTATAATTCTATGCATGTCTGTTATGAAATAGTTCTCCTGAACTCAATGGGACTCATTCAGAATATGAGGACGGGTGCAACCTCAATCAATTTCAGCATCTAGTAAGGGGGAAAAGCAACAATTAAGAAATCCCCTGGAAGTAATTACATAAACCTTTTCCATTAAAGTAGATTTCACAGAAAATGCTGAGAGAATGGATATCAGTTTTAAAAAACGGACCCATTAATTTGTTCCAGGGTTATTCTTTACTTCTGTAAAATAAAAAAGCATAGTTTGGAAAATGCATGAAAAGAAATACAGATGTCTAGGTTGCAAATTTAAAAAGGCAGGCACATTCAAATGTTTCTAGGCTACAGCAATATAATATGCCAGAGTTCAGATCTAAGATTTTTCTGAATTCCATCCGAGCCCCAGCTTGCCCAGCAATGAAGAATAAAAACCTTCATCTCACTCAGTTCAACCAAGTATTCCCTATTACAAATGACAAGACAGAAAATGTCCAAAGCTTATCTGCTTTCAGGCTGGGACAGAAACACTATTTTTATCCAATCTGTTTTTCAGTGTCCAAGAAACTTTTTACATTACCTCGTTAATGCAAAGGAAACCATGATGGACCCAGAGGTAATTAGCACTACATTCATATACATATTTACTGAGACATAAGCCACACTGACATAAGTAGGACTTACTCCCAGGTAAATGTTTAAAGAACTGTTGGGTATTACCGTGCAATATTATTTAATATGAGAATAAAAGAAATATTTTAAAAGAAACAAGTTGTCAAGTTTTATAAATGAGTTATATAAGATCATAGAGATACTGAATAAAGCTAATAGAGGGAGACAAATTGCATACCCTTGAGAAATAGTAAGGAGGAAATGTATTAAGGGTGGCTCAAAAGGCAATAAGATTATGTATTTTAATGTCACTGAAATAGCAAATACCCTGCCTTAATGTATAAAGACTGCTAAACTCACTTCACTTTAATGACAGCAATGATGTCCAAAGTAGTCATACTTCCTAGTGCTAGAAATATCAATAAAATACAGGGATAATATAATTTCAGTTACATAAAGATTAAAGGCATAATGAAAAATCACAATGAACTAGAAATGGATGAAGATAATCTTTGAAGCTATTCCAGTTATCAGTGAAAATGTGCCACAACCCAATTCTGAGCAGTTTAAGCCTTGTCTACATGTTCCTAAACTATACATAAAATATAAAAGAAATTTCCTATTTTAGCTTCCTCTTTTTCTTCTCTCTTAAGACACACTGCCTTAAAAAGATCTTCAGCAATCTACAAAATGAGAAACATTATAGCCAGATACTCAAAATATAATGCCATTAATCCAAACAGCCTCATTCAAACTATAGAATAAAAATATGAACTTTTAATCCACAATTTGGTTAAACAACATTTGCTTCACTGTCTAATCTTTTACTGAAACAAACAGGACTTAACTATTTCCCAGACCATGATGTCAAGGGATGGAAAGTTCACCAAAAGCACTACAACTGCAAAAGCACTGTTGTGCACTCCCACCAATCTGACCTCTAAACAAAGTTTCTTGAAGAATTCAGGGCATAGAGAAATGGATGATTTTAACACAAAACCACTACTATAAAATTATCAAGAACAGCTGCAAGTAGATTAAGCAGATACAAGTTCATCTATAGAACATCTACTCTTGTATTAGCAAATACAAGCAAATAAACTTAAAATGTTACTATGGGACAGCTTGATCACTGAAGACATTTGCACTATACCAGAAACTACAAATTACAGTTTAGCAATATTTAATATTTATTTTTTTCAAAAAAAGCAATCCATAACTGAAGAAATATTAAAGTACTGTAAGTGACAGAAAGTCTTGTCAGCCAATTACATTATAGAGACCAGAGACCATTATATACAGCTTGATATTCCAATTAAAGCTTGCAGAGGAGAGCGTAGGAAAATATTTACCTTAAAAAAGGAAGCTCCTCTAAGACAGGTCAAGGACAATAGCAAGGAAAGTTGTCAGCTTCCTATACCATTCAATGTTGTTATCACATCTGAGCTGTTACCACAATCATTAGCAAATATTTTAGAACTGACTTACAGAGTAAAAAGACTATAAAAGGAATCAGGAAAAAGAAATGTATACTTATTAATTCAGTAATAGGAAATATATTCCACTACCACAACATACTTCCTGTCTATTTTGATGTTAACTGTTAGCTGCATTGAAGTGTAACATAAAATTAATAGTCCTACAGATCTTCTGCTAAGCTACAGAAACACATACACATTTTTATGTTACAACCTTCAAAAAGACATTACACAGAACAATAATCAATGCTTTAGCAGAAGAAAAAGAAAACATCTATATTATTCTATATTTTAGAAGATGAACCCAATAAGAAAACCCATCCAGAATTCCTGATATTCACAATCCAATTATGTTAAAAGGAACAGTATATCCATTCTCATTTCAACTAATACTTCCCATCCCCCAAAACAGGCTCAGCATTTTAGAAATATAAGACTGTACCACATTCACCTTATTTTGTAATCAGCTTGGGAATCCAGAAAATGATCTCACAGATCATTAATAGTCTATATCCCTACTGACTCCATGAATCATTTGCAAAATATATTCTTCAGCACTATTGCAGTGATCCCAAAACCAAACATTTATTTCTTGTAACATCTTTGTTCTTGGATGGCAAACTAAAATGTTGTTGGGTATGTGCTAGGGAAAAAATAGCTATCTAATACATTTTTTCTATTTATGATACTGCATTTAATCTTCGTAATACAGGCTTGCAGTGGCCCTGGATTTTGCATTTATATAATATCAGATGAAAAAAGTTCATGCTTTAAAATTATCACATGACACTGGTCAGCATCCAACATATTAGAAGTCCTAACTAACTGGGCCCATCCCCAACTACAATGGAATAGAAGCTGATTCTTCAGTTGTAGTTCAACTCCAATTCCCATCAGCTCTGGTAAACATAGTCAGTAACAAAGAATGAGAAATGCAGCCCAGACGTGAGATGTCACAGGTTCCTTTTTCTATAGGAGAAAAGAGTATCTTAGATTCCAAGACTACAATATTCCCAAGCTTCCAGCTGCTGAGAGGAAATGGGGTGGGTAGAAATGTAACTTGGTAAGGGAGGGGAAGCAACAGGGCCACCGGCCAACCATAACAGGTCTCTCTTCTATTACATGTACAGACACTTTAGTATTTAGTTCTGGAGAGCCAAATAAGTCCAGCTACTAAAATGACTGCAAAAGTAGAGATAACACACCACAATACTGAGAATGCCACTAAACCATTTGGGACATAGGTAGGCAATCTAACATCACCCTAAATGACCTTTACTCCTACAGTTGTACTACCTAATATGCAGGAACCTTCTACATAGCCCAAACCATCACTGCAGTTATATCAAGTTTCCAACTGGAACTCCTATCATGAGAAACTGCCAGTCTGGTGCCCCAGAAAACTATCAGACAAATACATTTTGGGAAGACAACCCAGATTGTTTGATCAGCAAATGCAAAGCAGGCTTGCCAATTTGAGAAGTGCATTCCAACCTCATTCATGTCAACCTTTGTGCTTTCCACACTGTCACAAGATTTAACCATTTTTATCCAAATTCCAAACAAACAGCAGCAGAGGGTACAAAGCAGCTTTATACTGACCTGTCCGTGATTGCGGACTGTGTGCCACTCATTGGAGCCCTCGGCAACAGGACGATTTCTTAGTAGCCAATCTGCATCTTACAGGTTATTTTATGTTACTGTCACTTTCCCACACACACACCCAAGTTCAGAATCCAGCTTTAATTCCAAAGGATAGTAGAGTTAAAAACCATGAGCAACACAGTTCTTTTCAGTCTTCCAAAAGATCCACATCCAAGCACACTCGGGAAAAGCCACCAGGACCTTCTGCCAAGAAGTAACGAAGGCCGTCACAGCCATGATGCACTCCCCGGGAAATCCAGCCATCGCCTCAGTTCGGAAGGAAGACACATCTCAGTTTAAGACAGCTGATCGCCCGAAGAAGCTGCATCTGCTTCAGTTCCTTCCCAGCCCTCGGGTTCCCGTCATTACAATCCCCGATCCTCTCCAGTCTCTACGGCATCCAAGCCAGCCAGGTAAATAAGGAGTTCGCCTCGATGCTGTAGCTCTTCCCTCCAGGAAGGCCCAAAGAAAACAAGAAACTGGGGGTGGAGGGGTTCAGGGCAGGGGAGCAGGAGGAGAGGCTTTCTGGCTTCTTCCCACCACCCTTTCAAGAAGAAGGCTTCCTCCAGGTCTCTCTGAGGTCCACTGTCTGGGCACTGAGCACAAGCCCCGACGGCCGGTGGCCCCCCAAGCCTTGTGGGACGGCCGTTCAAACCTTTGCCTTCATGGAAAACACACGAACACCCATCCCGAAGGAAGGAAGACTGGCCCTGTTCCTTAGGGGGGTGTCAAGACGGTGGGGTCCCCTTTGGCGCTGCCTCTTCCGGGGGGGCTCACACCATACCCTTGGAGATCTAGATATGAAATACAAATTCCTATATAGGCGTGTGTGGGGGGGGGTGCATACAGCTCTATTAATCCCCCTGGGACGCGGAGAAGCCCCTCCACGCAGCCAGGCGCGCCCCTCCAACTCAGCCCCGCGCCTCTGAGGCCCCCTGCGGGCAGGGTCGG